GATGTGGGTTAGGGGAGTTCGAAGTGATATGCTTTTTCTGGGGTTGGATGAGAGCATGACTTTGGAGAGAGCTAAGTGGTGGGCGGGTATTCGTGTGGAGGAGTGATCTTGTATTTTCTTTTCCCCTCATCTTTTTTTCCTTGTTTTTTATCCTTATACATATAAGCATTATTTGTATCCTTTTTATTTTATCTTTTTTATGTATATTCATCTCTTTTTATATTATCTTTTTATAATAGCTTATCTTTTTTCTTTATTTTCTTTCTTTTCTTTTCGGTGGTGATTTCATGTATCGATTCATGTTAGCCGACCCCAATATCTTTTGGGACTAAGGCTTGGATGTTGTTGCTGTTGTTGTTGTATCTTTCTTATATTCTTGTGTTATTGTTTTCTTATACTACCTCCGTCCCGCTATGATTGTCTCATTTTACCTTATCGGTCCGTCCCACTAAGATTGTCTCATACCAAATTTGGTAAAGTTTGTGTGGCTCTAAATCATTCTTACTTTATTAATTCAATACCAACCACATAAACCACTTTTTATTAATTTGCGTGCCACTCCCTTTTGTCCCATTGTTAGCGGGACGGAGGGAGTATTTATTTCTTTATTTTATTCATTTTATCTTACTTTTTTGTCCTTTTCTTGTCCGTCTTCTCTTTTTGGCATCGATATCATAGATCGATTCATGTTAGCCGACCCCAAATTCTTTTGAGATTAAAGCTTGGATGTTGTTGTTGTACTTCCTGAAAAAAAGATTCTTTCGAACCTTCGGTACATACAAAACATCAAATAACGTAATTGTTTTTCCAAAAGTAAATTCTAAAACACCAACATCCTTTCCCCAAACAACCTCTGCAATTTCCCGCCGCATGACTTCTCACCAGCATGAGCGAGCTTGCATGTCTTGATGGAATGAGGACATCTCAATGAAAACTGCTATAGCTGCCAAGACAGATACTGCGAGGAACATCTATCGTAGCCAACATAATTTTCAATGGGATATGTACAAGCACTTGATGGGTGAGAAGCGGTATGAGTAATGTAATCCCAGAGACGAGTGGACACTTGCTTAGTCCAACATCCCCGACTGAGTTCTTCACCCGGATTAACCAGTTCGTCTGCAACGGGAGAAACAATTACAAGTTCCTATGCCCTGGGAGAGACATGGGAAGAAGAGGTCTCCATAAAGATGTCAGTGCCCCCGTGGATGAGGATGTGGGAGAGACCAAAGCCGAATTCTCTATTGATGGAAGTTGCTGCTCGACATGAGTAGGAGAAAGAACAACATCACCTGGAGGAGACCAAGAAATATCAAGACCATTTCGTGGAGGAGAGACTGAAATAGTGTCACAAGGAAATAAAAAATTTCCCAATGGTGCGATCATATACCTGCCACCCTTTCGTGCCAAAGGGGTGACAAACAAAAACACAAGGAACACTCTGGGGAGCAAAATTATCACCTAAATGATCTTGATTATGAATATAACATAATCATCTGAAGTCACGAAGGTGAGAATAGAGGGACGATTTTCCAAATAAAACCTCATACGGTGTATGATCAACAACAAGAAGAGACGGGGTTCGATTAATAACACAACCAACGGTCAAAATACACTCACCCCAGAATTCAACTGAGAGGTGGGTCTGAAACCGCAACGCACGAGAGACGTTAAAAATGTGTTGGTGCTGCGTTTACACCGTACTCATTTTGCTGTGGAGTGCCACGATATTACGTTTCATGTAAAATACCATGCCGCCGAAAAAAGGGATTGATACATTCAAATTCTTTTCATTTATCACTCCGTCTGGTTCAGACCCACTTTTGAATTTAGTGTTCAATCATAGCAAAAAATTCACACAAATTCCGATAAAAATCAGACTTAACCTGAAGCAAATAAATCCCGGTAGCATGAGATTAATCATCAACTATCATAAAAAAATAGCGTGCTCCACTCATAGAAGTAGTCTGATATGGACTACAAATGTCACAATGAATCAATTCAAAAATTGATAATGCTTTATTTGAACTAACAGGGAAGCTATCATATGAGTGTTTAGCTTTGACACAAACATCACAAACATCATTACTATGTTTTTTACTAGAAGCAACCAGCGGAAGAAACTGAAGAACACATGGTGATGAATGATCAAGTCTTTGATGCCAAACGTCAGAAGTGGTGATGCTCACAAAAAGGGCCCACTGTGAATTAATTGATTGCCTCAAGTAGTACAGACCACTCTGTTTACTCACACTAATCACATTCCTCAAAATGTGGTCATGTATCACACAATACTGCCCCGTGAACTGAATATCAAAATTTGATTCCACTAATAATTAATTGAGAAACTGAGAGCAAATTGCAGCTTAAATTCGGAACATAAATCACATTCTAAATACACAAATCATCGGAAAGATCGAAAAACTGATCCTTCCTTAGTACCAAGAATTCGTGTACAATGTTAGAGAATTTTTATGGTGTCCAATTATGTTATTTATCTTTCCTTCCCATTTTTCACACACATCAATCCCTCCTTATCCTTGTAACTTAGGTAGTCTTTTGAGTTGTGATGTGCGAGTTGTGAGTTATTTCATTAATCCTCCTCTCTTGAATATTAAATGCTTCCCTTTTAATATTCCATTTTGATATTTGAGCATTGCTAAGTGATCAATTAGTTGATGTTTTCATATTGATTGTTACTAGACTCAATCAATGAAAACAGTTGTTATTCACTAGGTCCTTTCATATGTAGTCTCCTTAGATTATTAATGCATGCATCTCATGGTTAATAATCAATCTAAGAGGGCATTATTCTATTGGTTGAACAAAAAAACGATTGTGTTGAGGTGAGGTTATCAATCTTAACTACTCCCTCCATCCCATTTTAGTTAGCCAAACTTGACTTTTCAAGTCAATGACGTCTAACTTTGACCGATTATATGTTTATATAGAGAAAGTATTAATAATATGAATCATTTTCATTTCATTTTCATTTACCCCAGTGTCGCAAAGGCTCCCACCTACGGTGGGGTAAGGGGGGGTCGGATGTACGCAGTCTTACCTCTATACTAAAACACAGAGAGACTGTTTCCGAATGACCCATATTGAAAATCCCGTCCAAAATTGCATGGACTGACTGCTGCTTCATAACAAAGAAGCGCAGACAGTTTGAAAAATGTTCTTTGTTAAAACTGCTATCATAAAAGTATAAAAATATTAAATTTTGCATTAATATATTAGTTTAAATAATTGGTCAAAGTTTATCACCTTTGACTGGAAAAGTCAAAGATGACTAATTAAATTGGGACGGAGGTAGTATTTCATTAGATGACCCATGGATGAATTAGATAGAATAGCTAGACCTGAGATTCTCGTTGTGGCAGTCTAGAATACTCACCTTAGGTTAGAAGTTATCGTTCTTAATTCGTTTCATTATTAAATCAACCGAATGCTACTATTTAGATCAATATATGATGCTAGTTATATATTGACTAATAGTAAGGATTTTTAAAGAATGTGTCTTGTTATTCATTACTACCATTGATTAATAGGAGGATTTAATCTACACGATTATGTATTCAAGAGGAGAGAGTTAATGTAAGTAACCAAGATCAATGAGCAATTCAGTAGGTGGCAAATAGTAAAACCAAGACTGATTACCTTTGATATTTCAATTTATTTCAATGTTTTATTTGCTTTCTCAATTATCACAATATCCAACCTCCCTTCAGTTTACTTTGATTTCTTATCCTTACACACACGAAATGCACCTTTCCCTACGCTATACTACAGTATCAGTATTTAGTAGTAAAATTAAATTTGAGGCACACACGACTTTAGTGTCGTCAGCAACCTCCATGACCCGTCATGACAACGAGAGTTACTGTAAAGGCTTGAAGTTCATTCCTCTGTTCAGACATTTCCGGGAATAATCTTGAGCTTTCCATTTGCACCATCATGAAATAAGCTTTATTAACCGTAGGTAGGGTCTTGAGAGAGAGGATTAGACCTCAATGTCCCATTCGCTCGTTCTTCCAAGCCCATAAGGAACCGGTGAAGACACGCATCCTCACGTCATTTTTCGAGCAATGGAGTGAGATTACAAGAACACTTTCCACACCTTCACATCAGCAAATCCTTCGATTTTTTAATCTTCCCATAATAAGATGAAATAGATAGTCTCGCTGCTTGCTTTCCGTAATGTCTCGCTGCTTGCATTCCGTAATGTCTCGTTTTAACTGCTGGACACGAGGCCCATTAATAACAGAAAAACAACCCTTGATGTCAAACCATAGGTCTATCGCAACTTCCATATGTGAAATAGATTAACGAAGCCTAGGTTCAATTGTGTTTCGAATCCAAGAAACCATCAAAGAGTTGTTCGTCCACCACTCCTCAAGATCTAAAGAATCATCATTAGGCATGAGAATCGTATTGTCAACAAAACGAATTTATTTTCTTGCACAGAGCACAGTGCGAAGTGCTCTCGCCCATTCTTCATAAGTATCCTCGTGAAGTTGGACCTGCGTGATCACGCTTCTGGGATTATCGCTCTCCGTTAGATCATAAAGTGATATGGTTCGTTGTGGCTGAGATACTTGACCATATATCTTCTTGCTATTGTCTCCATGCATGGTCACTATGTTCATCATCTTCACTTCCCTCCATGGAATCTTCGTCAATGCTATGCCCAAAGATATACGTAGGGTTTACGTACTTAAAAGAGCCAAATGCTCTGATACCATATTATGGAATATTAGTGGCGACCAAAACTTATCATTTCCTCATTCACAGGGAATATATATACGAGTCTACTTACATGGTATGTATTGGGCCCAAATACTATTAGTCTGTTGTGCTATCCAAGTGAATAATAACATAAATAAATAACATATATATAGCACACGACATTAGATCATTATAATCCTTATATAGCACATGCTATTAGAATGAATGTAGTAAATGAAATATAATTACATTGATGGTGTGTGTGGTTACAGGTTTCAGGAAATAGTGCCGTTGAACGCGGGAAATGTGTTAGTGATTGAAGACAATGAACCGGCAGCGAGGTGGTTAGGCTTCATAAGTAAAGCACTTAACAAACCAAGTCACTCATCATCATCATCAGCAACATCTGAAGGGATAGTGAGATCGAATTTTTTCCACAGGCCATCTCTCAAGGTCCTTAGCCGCAACCTAAGGGCAAACCATGGCCTCCTTAAGGCATGCAACTGCCATTTAGACTCCCCGAGACGGCTCCACAAGATTGGGGCTACAGCCGAGTGTCCTCCCCATGCCCCATCCACTAGAATGAATGACGATGTTGACTTCTCTTATGCACAAGTTTCTGGTGAGAATGTGTCATCAATAGCTGATTTGTATTATAATCTCATAGCTAGCAAGCAAATGGTTGGGATCTTTCTTTCCATTTGGGCACGTAAGGACTTGGTTCCCCATATTGCTCATCTACGAGTTTCATGTGTTGGAACCGGAATCATGGGCTATCTTGGCAATAAGGTTCAATTCACAATCACATTATCGTTAAAATAAATATGGAGCACACTAACTTTTGGGGTTAATTAATACTACCTCCATCCTGATGGACTTTGCCAAGTGCAAAGTAGGTGATAAATAAGAATATTAAAAACTGTGTGGTTGAGATTTGTGCAGAGGAGAGAGAAATGTGCAGAACCACAAATTAGTTGCTTTAATAGGGAAGTGACAAACTTTTTTGGGACAACCTAAAAGGGAAAATTGGCAAAGTCCAATGGGACGGAGGGAGTACTATATAATTGGTGTTTGCATATATTTCATTTGGTCATTGCAGGGTTGTATATCAATCAGTATGTCTGTGCACAAAACAAGTTTTTGCTTCGTATGCTGTCATCTATCTTCCGGGGAGAAAGGAGGGGACGAGTTAAGAAGAAACTCAGATGTTGCTGAGATTTTAAGAAGCACCCAATTTCCCAGGATTTGCAAGATTTCGGATCGTCCTTTTCCCCTAAATATCATTGATCACGAGTAATTATATATACTCCCTATTCTTTTATTCCATCATACTCATGAATTATACACTAGCTATATCATCCATGCATTATCATCTTTACTAGCTACCTTAGCTTAGTGCATGTTCAAGTATTTGTCGTACATCAACTTAGTAACGTATAATATATAAACCATACCTATATAGAATAATGACTATATATTCCTCATTCAGATTAATCTTTAGAGTGATATTAACTTCATGTCTTGATATCTAATATAGCAGATGAAACTTGAATTTGTACATTCAACATTCATACAGTGTTGTCGCATTTCACATTTCCAAATTCGTATTCTAAATCATAAATAATGCTTTATTTCATTGAATATAACTCCATACATGCATGCTTGGAGCTGAGAGGGTAACTAGCTACCTACCTTAGTGGATACTAATAAAAAAGGGTACATGTATATGTATTCATGGATCAATTCAGTCGAGTGACATCATATCGATGATATACACATGGATCCATCTATCTTATTCACATACACATGGATGCATGTGTATATATAGGAGAAAGGAACGTATATACTCGGCCTCCACTATTAGTGTGAGAATCATATGTAGTTTTTTCTTATTTTTTGGAACAAAAAACTTGCAAAATTGGGGTACAAGTCTACCCTCCCTAACATTTTTAGTTCAGATGTTAATAGGTAAGTTCACTACCACATGTACATGTTTGTTCAACTAAAAGAAAGAAGTCTTGTTGATTTTAAAATAGATAATTTTAGACTATGATGCTTTATTTGTATATGTAAGGTGTTTTATGTGGAATTATTTGATAAGTTGGAATGTTTTTGGAATTACACGTTTATAAAGTTTCTTTCTTTTTAATGTTTATTTGCTCTTTATCGTATAGCAACAATCTGGTTATATAAAATGGAGGTGGGAGACATTCTTGGGTGTATCTTTTATATAATACAAATGGATGATATTTTTCATATTTGCACCTAGTTTATTTTATATGAAAAAACTGATGAGTGTGTTATTGAATTCTAGCTAGCTACCCAAGATTGTTGAAGTATATATAGTACCACTTAGTATATATATATATATATATATATATATATATTATATAGGGGATGGTTCAAATAAAAAGTGGTCTTCCTGTGCAAAGTGTGAAATTTGCACTTTTTCATGTTTTGCTTGCACTTTTTCGTGTTTCTGTTGCTGTTTTTGGCCATTGGGATTTTGGCCAAAATGACGGTGGCAGTTTTGTAAACAAAACAATTTTTTGAGCTACTGCGAAAAAGTGCAAAAAAAAAACAAGAATAATTGCAAGCGAAACCTGAAAAAGTGCAAATTTCGCACTTTGCATGGGAAGACCACTATATATATATATAGGATGGTTCAAATAAAAAGTGGTCTTAACATGCAAAGTGCAAAGTTTGCACTTTTTCATGTTTCGCTTGCACTTTTTCTAGCTTTTGTTGCACTTTTTCGCGGTAGCTCAAAAAAATTGGTTTATTTACAAAACCGCCACCGTCATTTTGGCCGATTTTAGCCAAAATCAAAATGGCCAAAAAGTGCAACGCAAACAAGAAAAAATGCAAGCGAAACATGAAAAAGTGAAAACTTTGCTCTTTGGACGGGAAGACCACTTTTCATTTGAACTCTTTCCTATATATATATACTCCCTTCGTCCCGAAAAGGTTGGCCAAAGTTGACTTTCACGTGGATTAATAAAGTAAAAACTGTGTGGTTGAAATTTGTGCAGTGGAGAGAGAATTAATTTTAGCCACATACTCCTTACTTTAAATGGAAATGACAAATCTTTTTGGGACATCCAAAAAAGGAAATTTGGCTAACCTTTTCGGGACGGAGGGAGTTTATATATTATAAATGTTTCTAAATTATATTATACAAACATACTATTCATTTTTGTTTTATGAGGCAATTAAATTTGTTCTTAGAAGGGGTTTTGCATATGAATAAGTATTACACACGAAGATTTTACGCATTTTTTAAATATAATGGGCTAATGCGCATAATTTATATTTCATAAGGGGCTTTGATGTATTAAACCCTATTTCCCTATATGCATATGTTATACTCCCTCCGTCGCTTAAAACTTTGCCAACTTTCCTTTTTTGGATGTCCCACTAACTTTGCCACTTTTTATTTTAAGTAAAGAATTTGTTGTTCCAGTTAATTCTCTCTCCTCTGCACAAACCTCAAACACACAGTTTTTACTTTATTAATCCTCGTGCCGGTCAAACTTGACAAAGTTTTAAGGGACGGAGGGAGTATGTAGATGGTTGCACTTAACATAACACACACCGGGAGCAGTTCCGGTGAGAAAGGACTCTCATGAGAGAAATGAGAATGAATCTGGACTGTTGGATTGTATTAAGTGAAATTAAATTGTGCATTTGGTGAAACTGAAATGTGAATTAGATGAAATTGAAATGTATAGAATAAAAGGTAAAACTCAAATGTGTATCAAGTGAAATTGAAATATGCATAATAAAAGGTACAAAATGACATCACATCATACCTTTTATTTTGCACATTTCAGTTTCATCTAATGCACATTTCATTCTCTTCTGATGCACAATTCAGCTTCACATAAGACCACCGTATTGTACCTTGTTTTGCACATTTCAATTTCTCCTAAAATACCATTTAGTTTCACCTAATGCACATTGAATTTCACATAATGCAATCTTGCGGTGCAGATTCAGTCTCATTTGAATATATATATATACATACATACATATAGGGGTGTTCACCGGTCCAAAACCGGACCGGACCGGACCAGAACTGGTTAGGACCGGAACCGGAATCTTAAATTTATGAGAACCGAAGACCGGACCTATTACTAACCGGTCCAGACCGACCCGGACCGGAATTTTCCGGTCCGGTCCGGTTTTGACCCTAATTAACCCGGTTTTTTAAACAAAAAATAATAACAGATTTTTATTTCGAAAAATAATCTGATGAGCAAATATGCGTAGTAAATGTTTAATTCATATATCAATATTAGCATTTAAATGTTTATTACTTCCCTAGTGCACACTACAAACTAGCAGATTGTATTTGTAGTCTTGAATTCTTGCAGGTTGTAACTTAAGAAACATACTTGAGAATATCATAAAAATATATAAACCACAACCATAGACCATATTGCACACCTATAGAAAAGGTACTGCATAAAAAACAAACTGCATTGTAGTTTCAAATCATAGCAAATCAAATAATGAAAATTCAATTTTGCGAAAAACAAAACATACTGCTATTAACTTTAAAAAGATACTATGAACGTATCATGGGTTTTCCTAATTTAGTTCGTAAAATAAATGGGACACCGGTTACAAGCCCTAAAACGAAAAGTATTTTTTTGAGAAAAATAATTTAACGGGCCACCGGTCCGGACCGGTATTTTTCCGGGTTTGACCCGGACCAGACCGGAACCCGGAATCTTAATATTCTAAAGACCGAAACCCGGACCGGTTAATACCGGTCCGGTCCGGTCCGGTCCAATCCGGTCCGGTCCAGTCCAATCCGGTCCGGTTCAGGTCTAAATTACGGTCCGACCCGATTAATGAACACCCCTACCTACATACACACACACACAGATATATATAAGAACGAAGTTGGACTGTTGGATTGTATTATGTGGAACGGAAATGTGCATTTGATGAAACTGAAATGTTTATTACATGATACTGAAATGTGCAGAATAAAAATTTAAACTCAATTGTGCATTTGGTGAAACAGAAATGTGCGGAAAAAAATGTACAAAAATAACATCACATCGTACCTTTTATTATGCACATTTCAGTTTCACCTAGTGCAAATTTCAATTTCACCTAATGCACAATTCAACTTCACTTAATGACATTGTATCATACGCTTTGTGTTGCACATTTAAATTCACTTAATGCATATTACAGTTTCTTCTAATGCACATTGAATTTCACTTAAAGTAAATCTAACGGTCCAAATTCGTTCTCATTTCTCTCCTAAGATCATGTTCTTATTTGAACCAAAACCTATATACACACACACACATGTACATATATATACATATATAGGGTGCGGTTTTAATGAGAACGAGAGAATATTCACAATTAACCCAATGTGTTACACAATAGAGCTCGTCTGGTGCACATTTTAACTTTGCTCAAAACAAGTCAATATAAATAATCACGGTGGCATTTTGGTAAATATTATGCCAAACATGAAAAAGTGCATTGGGCGAGTCTCATTGTGCATTACAGTAGCATAAATGCGGTTTTCTCACGTTCTCACGTTCTCACGTTCTCACGTTAAGCATTGTTCTCATTTGATCACACACACACACACACATATATATATATATAGGAATTCTCCTGTCCAGCACCTTCTCGCTTCCCGTCCGAACGCTGTTCAAACTCCGCCGTTTGGGGCGGTTTCCGGTGACATTTATTGATGAATTTTTTTGAGCATGTTCCTCATCAAGTCTAGTTTATCCATACCAAATTTTAGTTCAAAATTCGATCGGGAACGCAGTCAAATAATTCGTTGAAGTTACCTGCGCCAAATTATACATAGAAAAACGCAGTTAACTTCAACGAATTATTTGACTGCCTTCCCGATCTAATTTTGAGCTGCAATTTGGTATGGAAAAACTAGACTTGATGAGGAACATGCTCAAAAAATTTCATCAAAAAATTTCAACGGTAACCACCCCAAACGGCGATGTTCGGACGGCGTTCGGACAGGAAGCTGCTGGACCTGAGAATTTCTATATATATATAGTGATAGTGGTTGGGCCGAATGTACTGATGATCATAAGAGTACTATCAGATTTGTCTATATATATATATTGCTTCTTTGAACTCCAAATAAAAGAAAGACAAATCTGATAGTACTTTCAGATTTGTCTATATATATATATATATTGCTTCTTTGAACTCCAAATAAAAGAAAGACAAATCTGATAGTACTTTTATGATCATCCGTACATTCGGCCCAACCACTATCACTATACCCAGCAAGCTTGAAATATTTGAAAGTAGTAAAACAAACCAAAGTTAGGGGTAACTTTAATGCTCTGTTCTAAAAATCGTTCCGGGCAGGCGCCCCATGGTTGCACCATTTTCTTTAGTAGTAAGGCCTCCCTCACCTTTCATTTTAACTGAATGTTCTTATGATTCTTCATCTACAAGTTCCATTATTGTTTGAAAGACAAACATAACTAGAAACACTATACCTGCATATTCCCCTTGGTGTGTGTGGTAGACAAGTACCACCAAAATCAAAATGATCCCAAAATTCACTCTCCTTTTTATCACGCCTTTTCACTCCTTGTTTAGTTTTACTCTTTTCACCGTGGATCAGGTTTGAACAGTAGCTTGAGATGTTTCATCCTGCGAAGACGTATATTTGTGATAGAACCAGCTCAAATATACAGTTAAATCTATGAAAGTATCAAACTAACAATCTGCAACTTTATTGATTAAGAACAGGTAACAAGAAACTATGGCCGAAGCCCCCAAAAGCCGAAGCTCCCAAAGAAAGAGATTATTTAATCTCAATCTTCCCAAGTCCCAAGACAAAGAGTCCAAAAGCCTCCTATCCCCTCCCAGCCTTCCTTCTATTTATAGTAGTCTAATACACCTATTATTATTCTTGCTCAAATAGGCCCAAATCCTAACACTCTAACAGTCTATTAGTCCCAATTCCTAATATAGGTAGATCCCCATCAATACTCCCTCCCTAAGCATCCACCTTGCCCTCAAGGTGGGCGGTAGGAGACAACAACGATCTTCTTCTTTTTCTTCTTTCTTGCACCTTTTCCTTCCCAACAACTGTTTGCGGGACTATGAACTTCTTTGCTTGAAGAATGCACTGATGGTTGGGATCTCTGTAATTGTTTTGTTCCTCATAACCAGATGATGCTGTTTGACCTTTTCCTTTAACATCCTTCTCTAGATGTATAGGTTGCGAATTGATTACACCGCCAGTACTGTTATTCATGAAACTACTGTGTCCATCTCTGGTTGAACACAGAACAAGTTCTTCCCCAATTTCATATGAAGTTCCGCCTTCCAGTTTATTTTTATTTTGAAGAACACCCAAAGATGTCTGGCAGCTTACAAACTCTAACAATCTAGATCCTGATGCCATGTGTTGCCTGATGTATATTGGGGTATTGACAAACAAGGGAAGAGCTGCACTTTGATACTGGCATATTGCCATAACTATTCTTTCAAACAAGTAGGGTTCTACTTCTATATCTCCAACATCTTCTCCTAGCTTGGCTTCCTTTACAAGAACATAAGTGTAACAGTTCGGTTGGGCCTCTTCCATAATTGAGGTTTATCATACCTTGAAAACTTCCTCTTCCGCGTCACCTCTTCCATAGCTTTGACTTCGGTTGGGCCCTCTTGAACTTTGATTTCTTCCCTCTTGAAAAGTCTCTTTATTTCTTAGGGTGAGATTGGTTTGAAGAGCTTGCTCCAATAGCTCTTATTTTGTTCTATTCTTGAGTTTTTCTTCATGAGCTTGAAGAGATCTCAAGAGTTGAATGACCGTCATAGTTTCTAGTTCTTCAAATTCTTCTATTGGCACAACTATGTAATCAATTTTTGAATCTAGAAACTGTAGAACTTTTTCAACCACCTTGTTTTCTTTAATTTCTTTTTCACATCTTCTTGGTTGATTACTTACGGTTTGTACTCTTGAAAAATAGTCATCAATGGATTTTGAAGATTTCATGCTTAAAGACTCAATTCCATTTAAAAGACTTTGCAGTTTTACTTTCTTCACATTGTTTACTCGTTTGGAAGAATTCTCCCAAGCTTCCTTGCTTGTGGTTGCATATGTCACCTTCGCGAACATGATTTCATCTAGAGTTTTATGGATGACGGACAACACCTTTTGACCTCTCTTTTCAATATTCTTCAAAGCATTCTTTTGAGCTTGACTTAAGGCATTCTTGAAAGCTTCCTCTACCATATCCCACACATCTTCGGAAACAAGTATCACCTTCATGCAAATTCTCCTTTATTAGTGGAGGAACTTGAACGGAGCCGGCCATTTTTAGGTGATGACCAAACGGGCTCTGATACCACCGTTGGAAATATTTAAAGGAAGGTTTGGGAAATTGGGAGACTAGATTAAAAATACGGAGTAATATGGAAGAGATAATTGAAAAACGGGGAAGAACTCTTTTATTTGAACAACTCAATTTTGCTTTCTTTGCTTGATACAAAGTGGTGATAGGAGGTCTCTACTTATACTAGTAGGAAACTATTTACACTATTCTACAATTAATGAATACAACTAATAATAGAAGAATTCTAGAGACCTCACCTTCAAGAAAAGTTTTAGAATTTATTTATTCTACATTTTTCTACTACTTGATCCCTTTCCAATAGATACATATTAATTAGGCCCAAAACATTAAAATAAAAATAAGTTTATTTTTCAACTATATATATTTGCAGTCGTATAATATGGATGGGAGACTTGAACTACCGAATTTCTCTTAGCTACGAGGAGACAAGGTCGATGTTAGAGGACAATGATTGGGACATTCTATTAGAGAAGGATCAGGTTATACATACATACAATACTTTATTATATTGGTCAGTCTTTTAACGTATCTAGGTAGGATATTAATTGGGGTTTAATTGCGATTTCAATGAAAGTAGTGTTGAACGTGAGAACGTGGGAACACTCACATTCAATCCAATTTGATGTACAATGAAGGTCATCTGGTGCACATTTAATATTTGGCTAAAGGGTCAAATAGGTCCTTGTACCCTTTCAGATTGCTCAATTTGCCCCCTCAACCCAAAAAAGCTCCAATTGGCACCCTGAACTCGATAAAAATATTCAAATTTCACTTTTTGCAGGTTTCAATCCGGTCACCGCCATGTCACCCGGTAAGGTGCCAACTGGGCATGTGACGTGGCAACTTAGGGGGTCAAATAAGCCCCTGAACCCGATCGAATCGTTCAATTTACCCCATCAACCCTAAAAAATGTCAAAAAAATTTTAAGGGTTGAGGGAGTAAATTGAACATTTCAGTCGGGTTCAGGGGCTTATTTGACCCCCTAAGTTGGCACCCTACCGGGTGATGTGACGGTGACCGGCTTGTGACCTGCAAAAAGTAAAATTGGAATCTTTTTATGAAGTTCAGGGTGCCAATTGGAGCTTTTTTGAGTTCGAGGGGCAAATTGAACAATCCGGAAAGGTACAGGGGCCTATTTGACCCTTTAGCCTTAATATTTTCTCAAATATTCAATTTTAAATGATTACGGTGACATGTTGGTAAATATTATTCTTAACGTGAAAACTGAAATTGCCGAACCGAATTGTGCCATGATATTATGGTAAATGTGGTGCTCTCACATTCTCACATTAAGCAATATTCTGATCTGTTCCCTCTTATTAAAATAAAATTAAAACTCCACCTAATTTACAAACTCATCTTGGTCATCTGATGAGTTGATCTAAAGGCTATAAAGGTAAGGTGTCATTTTTGTAATAAAATCCTACATTTTTAGGATACAACTCTGTGAACGTTAATATGCAGCTGCTATTTTATGGCTGAATAATATGCAACACTTTGAACCTCAATATGCAATATAATTAACGTAAAGATGCATCGAACAAATGTTTGCACAATAAACACAATTTGTATTTGATCCTTCCCCTATATATGGAGAGCGATTCCCATGAGAACCATGTTTAACGCGAGAACATGAGAACCATGCACTTTTAACACAACTTGATGCACGATGAGGCTTATCAATTACACTTTTTTAAACTTTGGTCAAAACATGCCAACATCAAATAAATGTGGTGGCAGATTCATAAATATTTTAACAACACCAAAATGTGCAAGGTATATAGACCATATAGTGCATCAAATGTGCTTAATAGTGGAGTTCTCATGTTCTCATGTTAAGTATATTTTTCATTTGATCCAAAACATATATATACATACATATATATATATATATATATATATGTATGTATATATATGTTTTGGATCAAATGAAAAATATACTTAACATGAGAACATGAGAACTCCACTATATATATAGTAGTCTTCTGGTCAGGAATTCCTGACCGGAACCGCCGTCTGCACGACGGCTTTTGGGAACCTTCCCGGTGGAGTTTTTTTAATTAAATTTTTATGGCATGTTCTTCTTGTGGAGTAGTCATCAAGTCTAGTTTATTCACAAAAAAAATCAGCTAAAAATTAAATCGGGAAGGACGTCAAATGAATTTTGAAATAACTGCGCCGGAATACATATAAAACGCAGTTAACTTCCAAAAATCATTTGACGGAGGAATGATCCTGTCCAGCCGGAGGGACAGGAGGCGTCGTACGGACGCCGCCATTTGGGGCGGTTCCCAGTGGAGTTTTTTGATATTTTTTTAGCATGCCCAAAAAATTCATCACAAAGTTCCACCGGGAACTGCCCCAAAGGCCTGCGGTCGGTCCTGTCCCTCCAGCTGGACAAGATCATTCCTCCACACACACACATACATACATACATACATACATACATACAAGTTCTAGTTCAGATAAGAACATAATCTTAAAAGAGAAGTGAGAATGAATCTGGACCGTTTGATTTGTTTAAGTGAAATTCAATGTGCATTAGATTAAACTGTAATGTACATTAGGTGAAATTGAAATGTGCGGCACAAAGGGTACGATACAGTGGCATTATGTAAAGTTGAATTGTGTATTAGGTGAAATTGAAACGTGCACTAGGTCAAATTGAAATTTGGAGAATAAAAGGTATGATGTGATGTTATTTTTGTATCTTTACATTGCACATTTCAGTTTCACCTAATGCACACTTCATTTTAAATTTTTATTCTACACAATTCAATATCTTCTAATGCACATTTCAGTTTCACCAGATAATACGAACCAATAGTCCAGATTTATTCTCATTTCTCTCCTGGGAGTCCGTTCTTACCAAAACCGCTTCTTATATATACATATACATACATATATATGTATATAGACACACACACATATACATATATCTGTGTGTGTTTGTGTGTACATACACACACACATGCATACATGCATGAATGCATGCATGCATACATGCGGAGTATGTGTGTGTGTTTATACACACACACAATAATTCTACCCTCGTCCGGCCACCACAGTTTGAGGTGGTTCCTGGTGGTATTTTTGGCTGAAATGTTTTGTGTATGTTCCTCATCAAGTCTAGTTCATCCATAACAAATGTCATAAAAAATTTCAATCGAGAAGTTCGTTAAATGATTTTTGCATGCTAACTGCGTTTTATATGTATATTCTGGACTAGTTATCATGCAAAAATCATTTGATGACCTTCCCACTGAATTTGTTTATTAAATTTGGTATGGATAAACTAGACTTGATGATGAACATACAAAAAAATCAGCCAAAAATACCACCGGGAACCACCTCAAATTGAGGTGGCTGGACCGGGGTCTTGTCTGGAAAGAGTTCTCTCTCTATGTGTGTGTGTATATACACACACACACTTTATTTTTTTTACACACACACACTTTATTTTTTTTACACACACACACATATATTGGTTTTAGTTCAAATAAGAACATAATCTTAGGAGAGAAATGAGAATTTAACTTGCTTTATGTAAATCTCAATGTGCATTAGATGACACTGTAATGTGCATTAGGTGAAATTCAAATGTGGAATAAGTGAAACTGAAATGTGCATACTAAAAGGTACCTTGTGTTGTTATTTTTGTACCTTTAATTATGCACATTTTAGTTTCACCTAATGCACATTTAGGTTAAATTTTTATTCTGCACATTTCAATATCATTTGATGCACCTTTCAGTTTCACCAAATGCACAATTCAGTTCCACATAATATGATCCAACGGTCCAGATTCATTCTCACTTCTCTCATGTGAGTCCGTTCTTACCGGAATCGCTCCCTATATATAGAGAGAGATTCTCCTGTCCAGCAGGTTTTTGTCCGAACGCCGTCCAAACACTACTGTTCGGGGTTGTTTCGGTGGAATTTTTCGATGACATTTTTATGGTATGTTCTTCATCAAGTCTAGTTTATCCACAAAAAAAATCAGCTCAAAATTCGATCGGGAAGGTCTTCAAATAATTTTTAGAAATTAACTGCGCAAAATTATACATAGAAAAACGCAATCAACTTCCAAAAATTATTTGACGGCCTTCCCGATCAAATTTTGAGCTGAAATGGTTGTGGATAAACTAGACTTGATGAAGAACATACCATAAAAATTTCATAAAAAAATTCTACCGAGAACCGCCCCGAACAGCGGGGTTCGGACGGCGCCTCAAGTTCCGACCTGAGAATTTTCCCTATATATATAGGGAAGAGTTCATATAAAAAGACCTCTTCCTGTGCAAAGTGCGAAGAAATGCACTTTTGCATGTTTTGCTTGCATTTTTGCGTGTTTCTGTTGCACTTTTTCGCGGTAACGAAAAAGTGCAACATATTTACGAAATTGCCACCGCAATTTGGGTCGAATTTTGTGCTTTTTTGGCTCATTTTGAGCCATTGGATGTGGAAATGAATGCACAAGATTCATTCTCACTTTGCATGGGAAGAGGTCTTTGTATTTGAACCATCTCCTATATATATATATAGATAAGAGATCAAATACAAACCATGCTTAAAATACTTACCTACAAACTCAATGATATGCATCACTTTGAACTTCAATATGCAGTACTCCCTCTGTCCCAATTTGATTTGCAAAATTTACTTTTTTGGTTGTCCCAAAATGGTTTTCCACTTTCTATTTTAGGTATGTAAGTAAGAATAAAGTGACAAATTTACCCTTACTTTTACTTTTTCCCCATTAACTTAAAGACATCTACTTTTAGAAAGATGGGCAAAAGTGTAAAAAGCAAGCATCATTTATTGTTTTTTCTTAATCCTTGTGCCGGTCAAAGTTTGCAATTCAATTCGGGATGGAGGGAGTAAAAATTATGTAAAGATGTAGTGGTGGAATAACATACAAACTAGTCCTCCCATTCAAATCATCTTTACATTATTTGTATTGCACATTGAAGTTCAAAGTGTTTCATATTATTCAAGCCATAAAACATTAGTTTCATATTTACATTATTTGTATTGCATATTGAAATTCAAAGAGTGCATCTATACATTATTTGTAGTGTTGCATATTATTGAGTTTGTAGGTTAGTAAGTTAAGCATGGTCTCTATGTGATCCCACCTATATATATATATATATATATATATATATATATATATATATATATATATATATATGGAGAGGTTCCGGTAAGAACGGATCTTTGGAGAGAAATGAGAACGAATCTGGACCGTTGGATTGAATTATGTGGAACTGAATTGTGCATTTGGTGAAACCGAAATCTGCATTAGATGATATTGAAATGTGCAAAATTAAAATTTAAACTCCCATGTGCATTAGGTGAAACTGAAATGTGCAGAATAAAAGGTACAAAAATAACATCACATCGTACCTTTTATTCTAGTGCACATTTTAGTTTCATCTAGTGCACATTTCAAATTCACCTAATGCACAATTTAGCTTCACATAATGCCACTACGTTGTACCATTTGTGCTGCACATTTCAATTTCACCTAATACACATTACAACTTCATCTAATGCACATTGAATTTCACATAAAGCAAATCTAATGATCCAGATTCATTCTCAGTTTTGTCATAAGATCATGTTCTTATTTGAACCAAAACCTATATATATATATATATATATATATATATACATATACATATATATATATATATATATATATATATATATATATATATATATATATATATATATAGGGTGCGCTTCAGATGAGAACGATGCTTAACGTGAGAAAACTCACTTTTAACCCAATGTGATACACAATAGAGTCCGTCTGATGCACATCTTGACTTTGCTCCAAACAAGCCAATATAATGATAACGGTGGCATTTTGGTAAATATTATGCTGAACGTGAAAAAGTGCATTAGGCTAGCCTCATTGTGCATCATATCGTTAAGCCTTGTTCTCATTTGATCTTTCATATATATATATATATAAATTCTTGATAAATTAAATAAACTAAACTAGCAACACACATTATTCCTTTCAATGATATGGGAATGCAGTTAAATACGGAAAGAAAGGCGGGAAGAGTGTTCAGGGGTTGGAAAGAAGGAAAAATATTGTTCGCTCCAACCTACAAATACTCTCTTAACTCAGACTTGTATGCCGGAGAGAATGTCACATCAAAGAAAAAACGCCGCACGCCTGCTTGGTCAGTCTTTTACAGCCTTTCCTTTTTAACTAAATAAATTAGTTTAGAGAGAAATCCCCGAATAGAAGTAAATAAAAGTTTAATTTCCAAAAGAGGACCATAATTTAAATGCTCCCTATATAGAACTAGCTTTCCAATTTTACCCTTGTTTAGTTAATACAATGCATATTTCATTAATAATTAAAATATAAAAGTAATAATATAACTTTATTTGTAGGAAACATGCAATAGATATTAAAAAAAATAAGGGAGAACTATCAAATAAGCCCTTTTATAGGAGGCTTGTTCGTAACCGGTTGAGGTCTTGTTCGTCCTGTTTCCGCAAGAATGTCGAGTACATATTAACATTGATATAATAAGATACCGTAAATGTTACAAGCAATTTCGAGTCCCAAAAATCATTTCATCATGCCCAGATCATTGATAGGGAACTTTCATGATCGATAGAGTTCAAAATTTGAGACTAAGGTTGAATTCTTTTCTGCAATTAGAAGATCATCCACATATACAAGAATACATAATATATTATTACCCTGTCGTAAAGTGAGTAAATAATAGTCATCATAAGATTTCCAAATTCCATATGCTTTGAGTGCATTGGTAAGTTTGAACAACCAACATTGTGGAGCTTGCCAAAGGCCATAAAGTGAAACGAAGAAGCTGACATACATTGGCAAGCGAAGTAGATACAAAACCAGAAGATAGGTGCATGTAAACTTCTTCATGAAGATCTTCGTGCAAAAATCTGTTGTCAATATCCATCTAATGAATGCCACAGTGTGATTGTTAGACCACTGGTAAATCCAACTCACAACACAATGAATCGCAAACAATTAACGAGGAACAAGATCGAAGAACATTTATTGATGTAGGAAGGAATTACAGAAAGTACACAAGCTTAGGGCTATTCGAGACGCCCCAATCTCCCAGACCTCAGTCAACCAAAATAACAGCCTACTTCTGCTAGCTTATTAACTTCTATTTATAGTAAAAGCCTACTTATTATTATCTACAATAATAGGCCCACTTATTATTATTTACAATAATAGGTCCACTTATTATTATTTCTAATAATAGGCCCATTCCTAACAATACTCCTCCCCTTAACAACCACCTTGTCCTCAAGGTGGGTGATAGGAATCAACCATGATCTCCCACTTCCACTTCATTCTGGCACCTCTCCCTTCCCAGTACAACATTGCATTCTGGATCTTTAGCTTCAGTACTTGAAGCTGCATCTTCTTGTTCTTCTCTGCAAGGAGCAGTAACAAGGTCCTGGAGGCAGATTGCTCTCTTATGTTGCAAAAGTTTGTATCTTCCAGCATCTGTGTTTCCTATTGTATCCCTTGCCTTTGTTCCAACATCTTTTCAAGAGAATTGGCCTCACTTTGCTCAAGACCTTGAACAATTTCAAAAGCATCTGATCTCTCCAAGGTATATCTTTTCACAAGTAGATACTGCTCTCTAAGTCTCTCAGCCATGAGTTTGATTCTTTCAGAACATAATGAGGATAAGGCACACCCTACTTCCTCACAATAAACAACATTTATTTGCTTATGAGCATCTTCATCATAATCCAGCAGTATCTTCCATAAAACAGAAATAATCTGAGGAGTTTCATCTCTAAAGGAATAACAGAGCAAACCAGCTTTAACCTTTTCAAGGACACCCATCCGAACTTCAGCTGTTCTATCAGTACACATCTTTAGGACTTCCAGAAATACTGGTTGAAAAGCCTCCTTGATTATATATTTGGGCATAGCAAAGATATCCTCCAGCAAGCTAACCACTTTTATTAATGTATCCCTCTTATCAGTCTCCTGTTTGAATTGCAGCATGGAGGATATACAAGTGTAGACTGCTCGTTGACCCCCATTAGCAGCCCCTGTCAAATACTTGCCGGCTAGCTTCAAGTCCCTTTTAACCCCAAGCTCATTCAGGTACATAACCCCAAGGTTGTAGAACCCACAAAGCTCATCATTATCATCACCCTTCTGCAAACGATCTTTTGTAGGGGTATACTTCTTCCGCGCCCCATAACCTGAAGGTCCTCCTGAAAATGGCATGGGGTTCACCTTTAGGTTCAGCGGCATCTGATGCTTTTTCCTCGCTTTCATCGTCGTCCTTAGTGCACTTCTCTGCATTTTCTCTGAAGCTTCCTGAGAACTGGAAGCTATTGTTCGCGACAAATCTGAAACAGTTTGCGATGACATCTGCGAACAGGAAGCTTCTCTCGATAGAGTCTTACTTGGTCGTGAACTGCTGGTGGATGATGAAGTTCGTGATTTCAAACTGTGAGAAGAAATCAACTCAGGTTGAAATTTACGAATGATAGATTTCTTCAGAGTGTCCCAATTAGTTTCTTCAGTCTGGTACTCCCAGGAATGAAACCAATTCAAAGCCCTACCTTCCATGCAACCCTAGAAGCTTCAACCTTCTCTTCATCTTCAATGTCATTTAACCGAAAATACCTCTCTATTTGTATAATCCAGTTATAGGCTCCTTCACCGTTAAACAAAGGTAAATCTACCTTTCTTCCCGTCAGAATAGGTCTTCTATTGCTATCGCGACCCAGACTAGAGAATATGGAGCGACACTGATCGGAATTACCTTCTTCCCTTTTCAATTTTCTCCAGGTTTGAAGCTGTTCATTTAACGCCGCCCTGGATGCAGCGAGGTTCTTCATCGCGGATTTCATCTCCTGTTTCGAACGCTTCTCCATATGTCTGTGCGAACCAAAGGCCTCCAATTCTGTTCGTCGCTGTTCTCTGTTCTGCTCAGCGATCGTTCGTTCGTGTCTTCGCAAATCACTAATTGTCCTCTTCTGCTACGGAGATGTGACGATCAATGAAGATGCCAGGAGAGTGCTCTGATACCAATGTTAGACCATTGGTAAATCGAACTCACAACACAATGAATCACAAACAATTAACGAGGAACAAGATCGAAGAACGTTTATTGATGTAGGAAGGAATTACAGAAAGTACACAAGCTTAGGGCTATTCGAGACGCCCCAATCTCCCAGACCTCAGTCAACCAAAATAACAGCCTACATCTGCTAGCTTATTAACTTCTATTTATAGTAAAAGCCCACTTATTAGTATCTACAATAATAGGCCCACTTATTATTATTTACAATAATAGACCCACTTATTATTATTTCTAATACTAGGCCCATTCCTTACAGCGATCTGCAGCACTCACAACGAGAATAGTCGGAACGGTCACCATTTTATCAATGGGCACAAAAGTGTCATGAAAGTCAAGCTCTTCTACCTGTCGATTTCACTCTACCTATTGTGCCTTGAATAGCTCTATAGACACTACTTTTGTATTTAATCTTATTCACCCATTTATGGTGTATATCCTTTGTCCCTGGATGTAATTTCTTGTCCCGGTTAATACCAGGAAAACCATCTGGGGGGGGGGGGGGGTAGACTGTTTTTTGGTGTCTCGTTTCTTTGTGAGACCGAAATTGTCCGTCTTATAGAACATGCACCTTTCTGGACAGAAAAGTCCTGCAGCGGATAAAGTTCTAGTCGGGTAGTCTAAAAACATACCAAGGCAAAATAGCCTTTTTGTTTCTCCTAGAGCAAAATTTGCTAGACACAGAGTCCACGCTTGTTTGAGTGAATTGTTTTAAACGATATCAGGGATTTTTATATTGGTTCAAGGGACAACATGTTCCTCTAGTCCACTATTTGACTGAGCTATTTGCAAATGTTACAACCTTGCATCCTGATGACTAACCATTTAACCGAGCTTGCTTGAAAAATCTCCACTTCACTCTGGTTACTTTGTTGCCTCTACTTTTTCAAGAAGTAAACTTTTGAAGATTCAAAAAGTTTTCCTCCAAGTTTTTCTTCCAATCTCTCATTTGAATTCTTATGTAGTATGTAGTGTTTTGTTCTCAAGAATTATTACGCTGGATTTCAGAGTTCGTAGTTCGTCAGTTCTTCTAATTGTATCTTTTATATACAGAGTGGTCCTCTCGTTAAAGTGTAGAAGACAATTCCATTAAATGAATGTCATGTAGACTTGACCGTGTCAGCTCCTATATTCCCGTTGTTGAAGTTAATTCGCGTAGATCCAAAGGCCCAACGCAGCCATTTGGGTATCTTTAATGTGCTTATAAGGGAAAGTAAAATGGGAAAGAGTGTCTATAGCAAGGATGATTCAACAGCCCAACTGTATTAGAGCAATAATGCAGATTACAAGGAAATGACCAAGCATGGGTTCTGGACCAATTACTAATACAGGAGCTAGAGAGTAATGTTTTACTAGTGAGTATCAAAATGCTAACCCTTTACAATGGAATAAATGCTACTACCTCCGTCCCTTAAAACTTTGCCAAAGTTAACCGGCACGAAAAATAATAAAGTAAAAACGGTGTGGTTGAGATTTGTGCAGAGGAGAGAGAAATAACAGAAACCACAAAATAATTGATTAAAAGGGAAAGTGGCAAAGTTTTTTGGGACGTCCCAAAAAGGAAAGATGGCAAAGTTTTAAGGGACGGAGGGAGTACTATTTAAACTAGAAATAGGTGGGCGGGATGAATGACTTGATGAACCCTGAGTGGTTGACCTCTTTGCCATTTGAGCACCCATGCTTCCACTTGAGCACCCATACTCCAACATTAAATGCGCCCCTTGCGACCTGCAAGGCTTCCTGATCAGCTCTTTGGCCTAATCTAATCAGCAGCCATGAATGTCGTTGCTTGCTGTCAAGTGTTATATTCAACTCGTTCAGGAATAATCGAACGGGACATATCCAGTTGCTAAGAGCTCGTTCGGGAGTTTACTGTTCTGTCTAGTGTTTGTTATGCTTTGCTACTTCTTTGGGCTTTGGGGATATTTTGGGCCGGGTTACTGGCCCGGAACCTAATATCCCAACACCCGTCAACTTACTACTTCGCGATATTTAATATTATTCTTCTAGATATAGTGATCAATCATGCGCCATAAATATCTCAATAGGTGGATGACACTAAATAGGCATTTAATGTGCTTCCACGTACAAGCTAACCGTATCTACGATGACTGATTTTTTTTCATTAGACTAATAAGCCGATATACGAAAGATGCCACAATAATGCACTTGAAGACGACTAAAAGAGTTCTCCACTGTATCAAATGTACAATTAATTTTGGATGACTTTACTCACATTCTCATGATTTCAAGTTGCATGGATATAGAGGGACTGGTGATATTGATGATCGTAAAAGCACCTCCAGATTTGCACTCTATATGGGCGATAAGGCTTTTACTTGGAGTTCGAATAAGCAACCAATCGTCATACTTTCAACTTGTGAAGTTGAGTATGTTGCAGCTACATCTTGTGTTTGATATGCTATTTGGCTAAGGAACTTATTAAAAGGGCTACACATTCCACAAGTTGAAGCAACAGAGGTATATAATGATAACAAGCCGGCCATAGCTCTTACCCAAGTAAATATTTCGATACTTATCATTTCATCTGTGAATGCATTGATTGGAAGAAAGTCCAAGTGAAGTATACTCGACCTCAAGATCACATTACGGATATTCTCACTAGGGGAGTTTGTGGTTTGGTTTCCTCAGTTTTGGTTTTATCGGTTCGATGTTGATCGATTTCTTTTTTCATTCAGTCAGTTTTGGTCAGCTTCGATTTTCAATCGATCAGTTTAGCGACTTTTAGAGCAAGTCAAACCGAGAAACAGATCAGAAAACTTGAGTCGTTTCAGTCGATTTATATTGGTTGCGGTCGGTTTTAGATTGTTTTGGTACAGTTTTGTTGGCTGATTTTGATTTGGTTGGGTTGTTAACTCAAAGGTATAAACTCTAAACCGAATCACCGAAGTCCGTTTCAGTCGGTTTCGGTTTAGTCAGTCAGTTTTGGTCAGTTTCGGTTTAGTTTTGAGATATTTGTTTAACATGCGAAAATGAATTTTAAGGGGATGTTGAAAATATACTTGGTTAGTCCACTTCTTGTATTTTAGCCCATTTAAAATTAATCAAGTATTTTGGTCAAAGTAGTTTACCATGTCTCTAGAATCTCTAGATAGATTCTAGAGAATTGTATATCTAGAACTGTCCTACAATCAATAGAGTTTGTGAAGAAAGTGTAGAAAGTCTCGAAAGTGTGTAATTAATGACTGTATCTAAATTCTTCCATTAACACCTATAAATAGGTGTGTTGTAACCCCATTTGTATCAAACAAAAAGCAAGTTCCGATCAACAAAATAGCTTCTTTTCTCTATGTTCTTAATATACTTCCACATAAATACACTTCATTCCTTTTTTTTGGAAGAAAATACACTTCATTCCTAAAATACTCTTCCGCTCAAATACGACTAGGTATAGCCTAATATTTCAAACATCTAGTCATCGTGTCCAACATTAATTAGTACTGGTGTTTCTATCCTTCAATGACTATTATTACATGTGTGTTTAAAGAAACAAATACGTGTATCATTGGTGTGATTAGGGCTGGGTTCGGTTTGGGACCCGAACCGATTTGTCGGTTTGTAGAACCGAACCGATTTTTCAGTTTTAAGAAAAATGGAAACCGAACCCGAACCGAAATGGAATCGGGAACCGTTTTTTTGGGAACCGAAAAATCGGTTCGGTTTAATTGGTAACCGAAATACCGAAATAGAGAGCCCAATAAGCCCAACAAATTTTTGTACTACAATATTGACCCCATTAGCAGCAACCGAAATATGAAATATCCGTATAATGTGACTTCTTATCCCTTGTTATATAGAAGTGTTTGAGAAGCAAACCTCTTATTGTCTCCGGTGTGGGACGAAATAGTAGAGGAGGAAAAATTGAAAAAACTGAAAAGGTTAAAAACAAAATGGGGCCGTTGGGAGTCGAACCTGGGACACTTGAAAGGAGAATGGAGTGCGCGACCAACACACTAATACATAGAGTATGTTTATACTGCACGCCAGAAAAAATTATATCATTTGTAAATGTCATTACTACTAGTAATAATAATAATTATTATTATTAAAAAATCGGTTCAGTTCGGTCCAAACCGATAATTTGAGTATGAAAATCGATTTCGAACCGACTTTTTTCGGGTCCCGATTTTCGGGTCCCAAAAATTATCGGTTCGGTCCGGTTCGGTTTTTTTCAATGCGGTTCGGTTATTTTCGGTTCGGTTTTCGGTTTTTCGGTTCAAAATGCCAGTCCTGGGTGTGATACGGTTAGCTTGCGATTATCAATGTGTATTTTATAAATGATTTACAAATGACATTAAATCAATTAATTTTAATTCAAGCGCACAAATCTTGTAATTAGAATCTTTTGTGTTTTCAATGTATTCTAATGTCTATAATTGATATTAAAATATACGAGTAATTTTTTAATCTCAGGTACCATGGAGTCTATACGACTATATATGTTCTACTGTATGTTTTTAATAATGATGAAGTTGCAGGTGTGACAGAATATTGTGGCATGGAAACGGAATGGAACAGATATCATACATAAGGGGGGAATCAAGATTCTCTGACCACAGACCCGTTTGTGCTGTATTTTCAGTGGATGTTGAAATGCATCGTAAACCGTCCAAGTATCGCAAGGGGTTCTCATGCACCATAAATTATGAAGACAACCCCTTACAAGGCAACGACTGCTTCTTCTAATTTCTTCGTCTAATCAACTGTTTCTTTACCATTCTTGTAGCATACTTGTATAATATGTATGTTAATAATATATATTTGTTGTGATATCTATATATTTAATAATCTCTGGATATTCTTCTTAATAAGAAATTTCCTAAATGAATTTACAAGAGTTCATTGAGACCCTATTTATACTCATCGGGCTTGATGATGAATCATACCTAAGTAATTTTACACGCTTTTTTTAGAACTGGTAAATTAAGTCATCTGTCTATCCTTGATTATATTCATCCTTGAATATGTGTATATGCTTATGTTATTATTATGAAAATTTTAGTGAGAAAAAACAATGTTAGCGGAAAGAGTACGGGTTTTAATATCATTGTATTTGAATGCACTATTGATGAACCGGTTGAATCACACAAAAGGAGGGTGAATTGTGTGGGTGTAATACTACGATAGTTTTTCGCCGAGTTCTAGTGTGGAGCAAAGGGAAAACAAAAATTAAAGGACACAAAGATTTAATGAGGAAAAATCTCTTGGCTCAACAAGGATTAAAAAATCTCGACCTCTCTCGTAGGAATTTGAAAACTCTTCACTAAAAGGCTTCAAACAAATTACAAGAAAAATTCTCATAGTCTAACCTCTCTAGGTAGAGTTCTCACTACCTTATCTTGTGGCCTTGTGGGTAAGGAGTCTCTTAGCTTTACAATAAAGCTCTCGCTTCACACCCCAACCCTCGGACTCCTCGGAGGAAAACATTCTAAAATGTTCTTTTTAACCCCAATACAATAGAAGAAATTGAATTACAAATGATGGAACTGAAAATGGAATTGTTGCCAGTACTCAGTCTTCTATGGCTTCTTTGTATAACTCTCCTTATTTGAGTATTTTCTTCTCGGTTTAAGCACACTCCTCTCTATGCATGAGCTTGGTCAGATATAGGGACGTCTAGGAGCTAGTGAGCTACCAAGACTTTATTGCATTTAAAAAGCTTTCCTTGTTGGCCAAATTCTCCTTTGTTGTATATTTTCCTTTGAGAATGGATTCTTTCCTTTTGAGCATGGTCTTCTTAAATGTGCAAGATTAGGACTTGATGTCTTGATGTACTATCCTTAATAGCTCGGATCTCCATATATATTTCTGTCCTCTTGCATGGAAATTTTCAAAAAATATTTCCTTATAGGTGTTATAAGATATTCTTTATATTTGTGTGAAGGAAAATATTTTTCTTAAGGAAACATTCATTGTGAGAGGAGATGCACGAAAATCCAAATTGAATTTTGAATAAATGTTTTTATTTTGGAAACTTGCTTTGTGGAAAGATCTCTTAGTTAGTGTCTTTGATTTAAATAACTTTCCTTCAAAGATAAAAATCCTTTCTTTGCATAAAAATTAATTATTTTCTTGCACGAAAATCTCTTTAATTTAGCAAGACAAAACCGAAATTGGATGGAGAGAAAAAGATTTAAAGTAAGCCACATTAATCAATCTTGGATTCATAAGACAGTTTTAGGATCGGGTCTACGGCTTGTTCCAGAGCACGACTTAAACTCTTATCCTACAATCACTTTATACAACACAAGTAACACTAGTTGTTTTTCATCAACAAAACAATACGTTCCAACAACTATCTCTTTATAAACCTACCTTATCACGAAAGATCCATGTAGATAAATACGTGATAAAGGAAAAAAAGAATGTAGTGCATTCAAATATAATACTTCCCTGAACTTAGCATAAATTTCTGAGCTCGTGTATGCCTATTTTATGTACAAGTTATATAAATTTCTTCGGGGGCAATGACTTGGTGAAGAGATCAGTTGGATTTTCACTCGATTTGATTTGTTGAATCATGTTGATATTTCCATCTTTTTCCAGATCGTGAGTAGAGAAGAATTTTGGTGAATGTGTTTTATTTTATCTCCTTTGATGTAGCCTTCTTTAATCAGAGCTATACATGTTGTATTGTGTTCATAGATCACTATAGGATGGCAAGTAATTGGCTTTATACCGCAATCGTTTTGGATGTGTTGAATCATAGATCACAGCCACATAAATTTGTTTTTAGTTTCATATAGTGCAATCCTCTCAGCATGATTTGATGATGTGTGTCAATGTTTGCTTCATATATCTCCGTGAGATCGTTGTTTCCTAATAGGTGAATGCAAATCACATTTGTGATTTCATCTTTTGAGGATTTCACAAGTATCCAGCGTGTATATATCTTATTAAAGTGGCTTTTGAATCGTTGTGATAAAATAAGCTCACATCAAAGTGCCTTTTGAATCGATATGATAAAATAGCCGAGATCAAAGTGCCTTATCATGGAGATAATGGAACATGAGTTTGATTTCATTTCAATGACGCCTTGTTGCACATGAATTGTACATAACTAATAAGTTTATAGAAAATGCAATATCTGGTCAAGTATTATTAGCTAAATACATTCATAAAGCTCTAATAACACTTTGGTATGCTACTTCAAGATTGAGTATTTCTTCATTGCTCTCACAGCGGTGAAATGGATTGTGTATGTTGAGAGATCGAACCACTATTGATGAGGTCAAAGGATGAGCTTTGTTCAGGTAGAATCTCTTCAAAACTTTTTTTGGTGTGATTCGATTGATGGATAAAAATTTCATTCTTCCAATGCTCAATTTGTACTCTGAGACAAAATTTGGTTCAATCGAGATCTTTCATCTCAAATTCTTTAATGAGATATTTTGTACTCCGTAGTATTTTCTATTTCATCGGGAATTTGAATCAGAGGCATAGCTAGGGGAGCCAACCTAAGCCCCGACCCACCCCAAAATAAAAAAATGCATATATTTTCAATGCAAAAATTTATGTGTACGTAAAATGTTTTCGAAAAATACTCTTTGTATCGGCCCAGTCCAACACAGTGCTCTGGCTCCGCCCCTGGTTCCAATAATTTTAAGTCATCAACATATACTGCAATTATGGCGAATCCGAATTTGATCTCCAAATGAAAACACTTGTACTAATTGGATCATTTTTCTATCCTTCTTTGAGCAGATATTCATTAAGACACTTGATTATGTTGGTTTTTGTGTGTAGGTTTTCACTTTTAAGTAGCTTTATGGTGTGTTACTTTAGTAATTGCACATTTACGATGCAACCTTTTATTTTCCTAGTTTATTGTAATTTGGTAATATTAGAGGATCCTGAGTTTGGATCAATTAATCACACTCGGTGAGGTATATATAATCAATATCCGGTCGAGTATGATTCGAGCCAGAGATAATACGAGATCAAACAAAGCAAGATAAAATCAAACTTTATCATGCTTCCTACTTTTATGCATGAGTGCGGTAATGGTTGCTCAGCCACATGCACACGTACAAGAATCAAATGCAGTGCCTAAAATGCAATCCTAAAAACATGGAAATAAATAACAAGCATATTTGACTAAGTAAAACAAAGTTTAAATGCCCACATTCTCCCCCTTAAACTTGTTTTACTTCATTGATGACCTTCACCCCAATCTTGTCTCGTAGCTCAACAAATTTTTGCCTTCCAAGAGGTTTTGTTAGGATATCAGCAAGCTGTCCTTCTGTCTTTGTATGCTCAAGCTCAATGATCCCGTTTTCAACACACTCTCGAATAAAATGAAACTTAGTGTCAATATGCTTACTTCTTTCGTGGTATACGGGATTCTTGGCTAAGGCTATTGCAGACTTGTTGTCAATCTTGAGTAGTGGTTTCACTTGCTTACCTTGATTCAGACTTTCTAACATTCGTTTGATCCATATGACTTGGCAAGCACATCCAGTTGCTGCAATATATTCTGCCTCACAAGATGATAGTGCCACTATTCTTTGTTTTTGTGAGACCCATGTAATGGGACTGTTTCCCAGAAAATAGATGATGCCAGTAGTACTCTTCCTATCATCAGTATCCCCTGCAAGATCACTATCACTGTAGCCAATCAAGCTTTCATCAGTTTGATCTTTCTTGTACACACATCCCATGCCAAGTGTTCCTTTTATATATCTCAGAATTTGCTTAACTGCACCCATATGTGAAGTGCATGGAGCTTCCATGTACCTACTGACAACTCCCACAGAATAAGCCAAATCAGGACGAGTATTAACAAGGTACCTGAGACTGCCAATAATGCTTCTGTATAGTGTCATATCAACAGGAGATTCACCATCACTCTTGCTCAGTTTGCACCTTGCCTCAATTGGAAGTGAATATGGATTACATTCTTCCAATCCAACTTTTTTAAGGATTCTCCTTGCATAGCTTGATTGACACAGTGTAATGGCTTCTTTGTTTTGCTTCACTTCTATCCCCAAGTAGTGACTTAGCAGTCCCAAGTCACTCATCTCAAACTAAAGCATCATATCACGTTTAAACAGTTTGATAGAGTCAGAACTTGGGCCAGTAAGAATCAGATCATCCACATAAACTCCTACTATCAGAATATCCTCCCCCTTTCTTTTGATGTATAGAGCATGTTCAAATAAACATTTCTTGAAGTTCAGTGACTTCAAGGACTTATCCAGCTTCTCATTCCATGCTCTTGGGGCCTGTTTCAAGCCATAGAGTGCTTTATGTAGCCTTAGAACTTTATCAGGATTGTTTTTATCCATAAATCCTTCAGGCTGCATGACATATACTTCCTCCTTCAGATCTCCATTAAGGAAAGCCGTCTTCACATCCATGTGATGGACTTCCCACCCCATTTGTGCTGAGAATGCAAGCAAGGTCCTTACAGTTTCTAATCTAGCAACAGGGGCAAAAACTTCTTTGTAATCAACTCCATGTTTTTGGGCATACCCTTTTGCAACTAATCTGGCTTTGTGCTTGTTTATTTTTCCTTCTGGATTCTTCTTAAGCTTAAACACCCATTTTAAGCCAATAGCTTTCTGATTCTTTGGAAGATCTGAAAGTTCCCATGTTCCATTTTTTTGAATGGAATTGATCTCCAGTGTCATGGCTCTTCTCCAGTTTTTGTTACTCACAACCTCTCCATAGCTTGAGGGCTCTTCCAAAGTCAGGAAACATAACCCAGCCTCTTCATCTACTTCTCTAGTGGCATCATAGATCTCTTGCAGAGATCTGAAATTCAGGTGTCCATCACTGCAATTTGAGCTTGAGTTTGATCTTGGTGTACTGTGAGGAGAGATTTGAGGTGATATCTCTCCTTCACCCTCATTTTCAGTCAATATGGCATCACCATTCTCACTTCTA